ATTATTATTTATTATTATTATTTCTACTGAATCAATAGGCCTAGAGCTAAAATGTAAACATTGCTCTGGTTCATACGTGATATAGAGGTGCGAGAGAGCTTATGTGACAATCTGGATTTGTCCCATAATCTGGATTAGTCACAATTATAATAACAGACTTTTTCTGCACAAACTGTACTTTTGATAACAAGGCTCTGCACTCTCAAAATGTGCTCCTAATAGATATCAAAAGAACGGCAGATAGGGTTGTAAGCAAAACAAATGTTAATCTTGCTATTTCCATGACAATGAAAGCTGCCATATGGAAATCACCTTTTATGTTTTCTCCTGTCCGCTAGACAAGAATCTCCATTGTTGACTGAAAGACATCTGAGAAAAGTGGATACATATCATAAAAGGATTGAGGGAACACTGTTGCTAGGAAACGGGTAAAAGATAAGAAGACCCACAACCTTGTCAACGACCTGCAAAAATCCCTGTTCTGTGATAGATTTTTCAAAGGTACTCCCTAATATTGACCAGTATCTGTTCTATTGTCTTTCATAATATTGCACAACTGTAACCGGAAACAGTAAAAATCATTCCTTACTGAACAATTTTTATAATTAAAATAGATGTTAATCCTAACTGAATAGCATTTTGTTCACTAAAGGACTGTGTATCATGAACAATTGCCCTTTTTTTAATTTAAAATACTTTTCACCTTTTATTTCATCCATTGTTGAATCTCAGTGCTGCTGATCTCCTGCAGCCTTTCTTTAGCATCTTCTGTCTTCATGCATCCACTCCAGTAATCGCTGGCATGTCTCAAGATAGTGACAAAAGTGAACGAAGCCTGCACAATTTGTTTAAAAAAGGATACTGGTAGTCTTCCATGGGAAGTCTATGTACCAGGGGAACAACTCAGGGGCACAACTGAGACAAAGGCACAGAGCACTGCAGGATCAAGCAAGGTTCAGAAGTTACTGTTTTCATGAAAGTTACGTTTGCAAATGGGGCCAATCACACAAATCTTTCTGTAAGACTCATGCTATACACTGCAGGAGGGAGGCACTGTACAATACAATGACAGTGCTTGCAGCCATTCACAGCCGTTTGCATGCAATCATTGTGATTACCTGCAGATGATCCCTCCTGGATGCAATTCGTGAGATGCAATCGGCCCCATTCACAAATGCAAATGAAGCCTTAGGAAAGATTTTGGGAGAACAAAATGTGAGAACATAAATAAATAAATGCAAAGTAGTTACAGAGCAGGGACGTGTGGTCAGGGGAGGCAGGTGAGGCATAGCCTCACCTAGTATTATGGAGGTAAAAGCTGTCAGCTTCAAGTTTTGTGCCTACAGGTTTCAACGATATCAAGCTGCATGATGCCATGCTAAGGAAACCACATCAAAATGTATATTGCTATAGAGGATTTCTTCTATTTATAGTACATATAGTAATAATGTCACTCAGGGACAGAGGGATTTGGTTCCGAATGAGGGACAGTTGGGAGGTGTAATATTATAATATTCTTTATAGAGCTGTATGTATTTTAAGGCACCTTGAAAAAAAACCCCAGGCTCAATTGCAGCCAATCCTTGCCTGTCTTTACCGGTTGTATTAATGTTTATAAAAAATAGATTACCGTTGATATAGTAAATATATTTACCATGTGCCAGTATTTGCATGTCTGTTGGTGGTCCCCCTGCCTTTTGTGACTGGAGTAAATATTCATTTTAACTTTCTATAAACTAGCAGAAGCAGTCCTTACACCTCTGAAGATACTAGCTGCCTGTTTGTCTTGCTTCATTACACTGCTCTGAATAAGCATACAGATAAAGACTTCTGACTTTAACTTTCATGCGATACACAATTGTTCCAGACCAGTGATTCAGAAAGTAGGAAATGCAGTGCGTGAGAGTAAAAGCCAGGCAACTAGCATTTTAAGAAAAAGGCCAGTTATGGCGATGCCTACCGTTTCCTCAGATCTATAATCTATGATAATTTTAGAAAATGTACTTTTTGTTGTAACATTAGTTCAGTCTAGTGCAGATCCAAGTTCCTGATGTTTCTTTAGTGTCTGGTAGACAATTATGCATGTCCACCTTCTCCGATTCCACACTACAAAGCATGGCGCCAGAATGACCTATCAGCTGGTGTTGACATTGCATGGGAACTGTGGGCTGAAATCACTGAACTACATCTTTGAAGAGCCTTAACAAATGGCTTCCAGTCTAACAACGCTAGTGTTTGGAGGAAGGGCTAGGCCCTCTGCATAATACTGTTAGTTTCTCCCTTTCCCAATCTAAATCCATCAGAAATTGTAAACCATTTATTACAGTATAATAATTTAAGGTCTGTGAATTGGCATAGTATGGTAGATGGGCAAAAGCTAATGATGCAAACTAAAGAATGGGGAAAAAGTGTTGGAATACTTAATTCTGGTTGTACTCCCACAGCTTTCTAGCTACTTTTAAGTTTCCTGCAGAATCAGCTGGTCCATTGAGCACTGGCCCTGGTATCCTGCTTTAGGGTGGCTCCTTTACCTAGCAGTGTCCTACGGAGCCACCCTTGTGTGTGCTATTGAGCTGTGGGTTTCTCCACAAGCACAGAAGGACAAGCCACTGCCCTTTCTTCTACTTCCCAATCCTCCCTTCTCCAAGCTGGTGGATGGAAAGCTGCTGGAGACTGCTCTGTCCATTGTGGTCTTGTACTGGACAGGAAGTTCAGAGCTGAGAGAGTTAGAGCTGTTTGGAAACATGATGACTGTACGTGTATGGGCAAAAATGTAAAGAAATATCTTCCTGCACAATGTATATTTGTTTGCCCTGGATTCATTATTGAAAAAATGTGATAGTTTAGTACTACTTTAACTAAAGCTGGCTATACACCAGTAGAACTAGTAGCAGAGCTATTGTTCCATTTCCTAATAGGTAATATGGGCTAAATCAACAATTTCAACCACACCGATGAAAAAAATTGAAGGAGCAGGATGGAAAATTGTTCTTGAAGGAACAAAATTCTAACAAAGAATGTGGTTTTGGTTTGAGAAACTCCATTTATTCCGAATGTTAAAATCACACAACATCATGAATGTCATTTGTCAAGTCTCTGATGGCAATATTGAATGTTTTGATGAGTTTGTTCAAAAATCTACCAGTGCATGCCCAACTTTAGTTGTTGCTAAGACTTCTTTCTTGTCCAGTTTGTTTAAGCATTTTGCTGTAAGTGAGAATTTCAGTCTCTTATTTATTCAGCTGCCTGAAATTGAATTCTCTCCAAAACTCTTATATAATTTTTACAATATGCTGCCCAAAACTGGAGCTCATATTCTAGCTGTGTCCTTACCTCTTATTCATGTTCACCCACATCATGTACAGCTGGTCACTAGCCTCCTTTACTCTTCTGGTGTCATCAGAGCTGTAATCACGCAGTACTTTGTTGGTAAGTTCATTAAATGTGTCCATGGCAATCTCACCCTTGTGCAGGTCTTGCAGTAAAGCCTGGAATATAAAATAGAATTGGGTGATATAAGTGAGGAGATTAACGCTTATGGTTCCCAAAGACATTGTCTACTTAAAACTGACACAGTACAATATATCAATAAATCAGAAAGGTGCTATACTAATATCAGAATTCTTCATTTTAAAATATTCATTAGACACCCTTATTTGCTAAAAAGGAACGATGCACAAAACGTAACCCTAACAATACGCTTCTCTTATTTGGTCCCTTTCGTTCTGTTAAATATACCATAGAAAGCATTTTGTTATATCTGTGCACTAAAAGCTTTCTGTGCTCTCGGCCTCTGCTGTACTGTTATCAGCATTGTTTCCAACGCAGAACACCTCCCTCATATGTTACGAAGTTGAGAAGAGGTGGTATTCAGTAGTCCTAAAATGCTTCCTTTCCTAGGGTGACAATGCTGCTCCTTCACATACACAGTACAGTAAGTGAGCATTGTCACCCTAGGACCAGTTAAGACAAGGTATTTCACCAGGTGAAAAAAAAGGGAAAAATCCTGAGAAAAGAAAGCAAATGTAGCCACCACATCTAGGGACGGGTATGCTGCAATATAATAACATACACTGTATATGTTCTTGGAGGTTATAAACACTTAAAAAAAATTAAATCCAATCAGTTAGCAAACACAGCTACTAATCTAATGATTGAAACTTAAAGTGTTATTAAAGTTAAAAGGTATTTAAGCTATTTCGAATACTGATTAGATCACTTGTATTCTGCTTCTTAGTGTTTATAAGCTTTAGTTTAATGTAGAACCAGCTGGTCCCTGGCCCTGAGCACTGGCCCTGATATTCTGTTTTGGGGTGTCTCCTTTACCTTGCAGGGTCCTACGGAGCCACCAATGCGTGTGCTAGTAAGCTGTATGCATTTCCACAAATAGGCACTCACAGCAAGGCAAGACTCTCAACCCCCCTCAATCCTCCCCTTCTTCAAGCTTTTGGACAGCTACTGGAGATTGTACTGTACCCTCTGACCTTGTACTAAACAGGAAGTTCAGGAGCTGAGAGAGTTGGAGTCAGCTATTGGGATTCAATATTGAAAAACAGTTTGAGAGTTGAATACTACTTTAGCCTAATTGACTTCAAACCTCAACTCTGGGAGTTACACAAAAACTACTCTTGCTGAGCTCAGCAGCAGCAACAGGACAGAGGTTGCACTACACATTGCACGGGGCTTTGAACCAGAATACCATTAGGGCTTGTTCACACCAAATCTGGACCAGATCTGCATGAGTTTCTGCACATGCAGTGCAGTGTGTTTGGCCGCATTTTTCAATGGGCTTTCATTGCGTTCAAGAGCGTTTGAATGCATTTTTGATGCGTTCCAGAGCAGAAAAAATAGGGCATGCTGCAGTTTTTCCACATGCTCTGGAACTGAATGCTGCTGTGTGAACTAGAGTCCAAAATACCACTGGAGTACATTGGATGCATTTTTGATGCTTTCTGTAACTGCTCTGCTCTGCATCTGCTCCACACTTGGTGTGAACAAGCCCCTAGTTCCTGTGATGCTAACAGTTGGCTCATCCTGAGGGTGCAAACGGCCTACAAGTATGGCAGATATATTACTTTAAAGCAATCTTATGTAAATGCACGTAAGCACATTTAAATCAGAACTCCAGGAAAAAGGTTGTTTTTTTTGTACACTCCATAAATCCAGTCAAAGAATTGACCTCTAATGATTATTACACTAGTTTTGGATCGCTGCTGCGTACTGTAAAATCCTAAGTTCACTAATGCTGGAAAGTGCAACCAGTGCTACACTTCCAGTGCTGCGGTTCTCCTACAGTGAAGGGATCCTGTCATTCAACCGACCCTCAGAAAGCCTTGGATTCTGTTCACAGTATACAAGGTGTTCAATGAAACTAGGATTTCTGCAGTATACAGCAGCGATCCAGACCTAGGATAATCATAATTAGAAGTAAATTGTGGTATACACAAAAAATGTTTTTCTTGAGTTCCCCTTTAATATTTACACGTGGCTTTTAAGAGATGACGTTTTGCCTAACACAAAAGCACAGGATTCACTTTCCGAAGTGAAACTTTCTAAATGCATAAAGCTGTTTTGGTGTTAAATGTTAATTGAATACAGTGTTACAAGGCCCCCCTCTGCAGTCCAAATACAACAACTGCATGTTCTCGCTAGGTTAAAGATGAATACAGAACAGGTTTATATTTTCAAGCTGGTTAAATATAATGAAAAGATGCTGGAATCAAATAAAACATATGTGACTAAAACTTAAGAATGTTCCGAATTTATGCATAACACACCATTAAAGAGGTTATGAAGAATATGCTATACTCCAAAGCTTAAAAGATGGCCATTTCAGTTAAATATTTAGATTTGTGAGGTTAGTATTTTAAGGCTGCATGCCTAGGTGTAGTACATATTATTACTATTATTAGGGATGCACCAATACTGTTTTTTGGGCATCCAGTACGAGTACCAATATTTTTTTTCCAGTACTCGCCGATACCGAATAGCAGAAGTCCCATTAATGTAATGACTCGCCACCTGGCTTCCTGATTTGCCGTGAAGCCGGGTGATGTGTAAAAACTTGCCACCCAGCGATTAGCAGGGAAGCCGTCTCCATGCTTCGTCACCAGGTGACGAGGAAGCATGGAGACGGCTTTCTGGCCAATCAAGAAACCGGGGGTGGGTAATGACTCGGTGCCTGGCTTCCTGATTGGCCAGCTTCTCGACCAATCAGGAAGCTGGGCAGCGAGTCATTACACGGCACCTGGCTTCCTGATTGCCAGGGAAGCCATCTCCTTGCTTCCTCGTCACCAATCAGGAAGCCAGGCAGTGAGTTATTACAGGCTGCTCAGCTTCCTGATTGGCCGGGACACCAGCTCCATGCTCCCTCATCACCAAGTGACCAATCAGGAAGCCGGGCAGCGTGTAATGACTCACTGCCCAGCTTCCTGATACCAGAAGTATCTGGCTAGGCATCGGAGCATTTGGGCGAGTACGAGTATGAGCCCAAATACTCAGTATCAGCACCAATACCGATACTAATATCGGTATCGGTGCATCCCTAATTATTATACAGTATTTTTTAATAGCGTCAACAGTTTGCACAGCGTTTTACAGTGTAAGGAAGACATTACAATTACAGGAGGACCATTTGGAAAAGAAATGGGTGGCAAACTGATGGATAAAAGGTGATATTAAAGGATAATTAAAGCCTCAGGTGTTTTTGCATATAGCTAGTGCTAGTAAGCAGTAGATATATGCAAAAAGTGTAAAAAAAAAAACCCGCTTTCAAAAGGGCTTCCCCGCTCACTCCCGTCCGAAAATTTGAAAAATCTCGGGCGGCTGCAAAGCATCTTGGGGCTGGCGCATGCGCAGATCACATTTTCTTACCTGTGTCTTCCCCGCGCACTCCCGTCTGAAAATGTGAAAAAATCTCGGGTGGCCGCAAAGCATCTTATTCTTTGAGGTTAATGTCCCTTTAAGATTCTGTATTTCCTATTTTAGGCAATGACTAATTGCACGCAGGATTTGTAAAGAATAATTTAATAGCCCAACAATCATCATATCACAAACATGGAAAGCGGTTGATTTTAGTTCATAATAATAAGCATTGATGAAAATCAGCAACAGTTCTTGCTTTAAATATAAGGCTCACTCTTCACAGACACCATTTCAGCGAGTATTTACCTTGTTCTCTGCAAGCTGTTTGACAAGGGTGTCTTTGGATGTTTGAATGAGGGTATACAGGCGGAAATCTGTTTGGTCCGAGATGCTCTGCAACTCCTTCCTTAGACCCTCCCACTTTTGGCTGTCAGATAACATATCTTGTAGCTGCTTTTGTCGCATGTCAACTCCATATTGTGTGCTGTCCCACTGATTCTTCAACTTTTCCGCTGTGTCATTCAACAATTCAGAAGTTAATAGTAGAAAAAAAAACATACACATCGTATATACTGAAATAGCCAATTATGACCGACCTAATGATAGAATGCTTGGTCAAAAAAAAGTTGGCTGATGGGGCATAATTTGCATGGCTCCATCCACTCTCCTGAAATGAGGAATAATCCTTTTTTTGGGGGACATGTGATGGAATGAGATGTGTATACTTTCTCTTCTAAAAAGGATTTACTATGCTACACACTGATTTGGTTGGGAAAGCTTTTTGATTTCCGTTCTGTAATGGTATACTGTCTACTTTTTTTTTTTTTTTCAAGTCATTAAAACTGACTCTTAACTTGGTTTTGTCAGTTTCAATATTTTGTCATACTGTTTAGCTACGGTCTGAGGCTGAACCAGTATATGCATAAAGCTCTAAGGAGGATTAAACTGCAATAGGCAGTGAGTGCAATTAGAAGATATAATAAAAGTGTACCTGGGTTTCAGTGACCTTGTATCAAGGCCAGTTAAAAGAGAACTATAGGGTAAGTGTTTTTCCCCATAAGGGTCACGGGAGGACATATACTAGCATCCTCCCGTGACCCAAAGCTCAGTATATTACGAGCTACAGCTTGCGGTATACTGAGACCGCCGCACCAGGGACGGATTGCGACAATATTTTCGAGATCCACCCAGCTGCGTGAGTGACAGCTTGCTCTGCCTATCTAGAGGCAGAGCCAGCATTGGAGGATCGGAGCGGGAATCTCTGCAGGGAGCCGTGACTGACAGTCACGACTCTCTGCAGGGAGATGATGGAGAAGAGCGCGAGTGACGGTATGTGTTCGCTCACTTCCCGATCTATTGAGCCGACGTGTGACAGTTTCATTGTCACACGTCGGCACGAACTGTGAGGATGACTGATTTTCATAGTTCTTCTTTAACATTAGATTTAAGTATTTTGTGGCCTGCAGCTTTTCAACAATAGCTATTTTTCAGTATACTGACCGACCTTATCCCTTAAAGTAAACCTAATTTCAGAGAAATATGTGATGTGTTGCTGCTGGCATTCGTCCACCTAAATAAGAGGCCAGTGTGCTTCAAAAGCTTGCACTACAATCTATTTAGTTGATCAATAAATGGTATCACCCTAAATCCAAAACTTCTACTTTATCAATGGCTAACATGGTACAATGATGCGGGCATTCTTCTGGAAATTCTAGCTGACTGGCTGCTATGCTGATTCATTGGCACTTTGGGGTTTATTTTAATAGAGCATGTTCACTTAGCTTATTGAATAAGGTGATTGGGCATTGAAAGTGAACACAGCTTTACATTTTATCACTAAGTAAAATGAACACATTGCAAAGTGACTAGCCTCTACTCCTTTATTAAATCAACCCTACTAAATTACAACACATGTGAGGGTTAGAGAGGTTCTGGGTCAGCACTGTAGCCAGACAACTAGCATTTTCAGACTGTTGTCAGCAATGGCATCCTTCCTGATCTCATTCGAGGTTTACTAAGATACTCTTTAGAAATAATGTTTAATTTGCTGGATGTACTCCTTTATTTTATATTGGTTACATAACTGGCCAATCTGTTCTCAGCATCCTGAAAGCAATTAACTGTTTCACTATAATGAGAACACTCTATGGGCCTGAATTATTAAAGAAAATGTGTGTACGCTGTTGCATCGATGTGCTCTAATACGACTGAATTTCCCATGGCAATGTTTTTCTATTATACATTTCCCCATTCTTGATGCATTTTATCTACTGGATTTTTATATAATGAAATGTATTAATAGAATGTCCCGCTGTCTTTGAAGCTCCAAATAAAAAAACAGCTAGAAAATTAAATTCTTATTTGGATTTCCCGCAAAATTGGAATACATTGATTCTTGATAATATACAGTATAACATTGTATGATTGTGTTATGTATTTATATAACATGTACACATGTTTCTGTATAGGAAACATACAGAACAATATAGTAATCTAGCAAAATGATGGGTAACCAATACTAGGGAATCTGATCCTTACAAAGGGCAACATGTTTTATTAATTTTTCTAAGATAAACAGAGACAAACATGTATTACAACAACACAGTTGTATAATTTCTTCATTAAAACTCCAGCTTGCTGGGGGTTTTTATTAGAATGTAATTCAGGTTATAAATGTGTTGCATGTTAGTTTTTTCAGTCATTTCCTGTTCTTTCTGATACCTATCACCTTCAAGGAAGTGAGGGGGAAATTGCACACAACAGCAAAGCAATTCTAGAATATGACTTTTTCAGGGAATCCTCATGTATATGATACATGAAGATTCCCTGCAAAAATCCCATGATAGTATTATTTTTAAAAGACAAGACTCAATTAGTTATATTAGAAAATATTGTTTTATGTTGTTAGAAGCATGAGGCATCTATAGAGGAAATAAACCCTTGCCTTTCTTTTACAGCAATACAATTCTGATTATTGTTGTAAACCTTTCCCAGTCTACTTAGAAAATATTTTTTTGATATGTGTGTCAACACTGGGAAGATTTGCCTTCCTTTCCTGTCCTGTCTGACATCTATCAAATAGATGAGAAGTGAGTTGAAATTAGGAGAGTGACATAAACAGGAATATGAACTTGAGAGGTTTGAATCCCTCCTCTACCTATCCAAATCTAAAACAAAAAGAGCTGGGCTTTAACCTGCAGTTGACCACTTTTTACCTTATTACACAAAGGCACCAGCTTTAAGGATCTTCACTAATAGAGTGCCAAGGGACCAAAAATGTATCACTAGAAGGGCTAATACCCCAGTAGCATTGTTTATATGTCAGTCACTTTTCCAGCTTAAAATAGGAAGGGAGAGGGGACGTTCTAACCTTCCCAACTATGAAGATATTTGTATTTTATATTCATTTAGATATGGAGTAGAAACTCCAATTCTCCGTGTATAGCACCATCCACCAATGTGGGTAAGCCTGAATGGTGTGCAAAGGGTACAATACAACTCCAAGTAAAAATATATATACGGTGTATGTGTATGTGTATATATATATGGAAAAACCTCCATGGCACTTGAGTATGCCGTTATACTAGATTTAATCAACACATGAAATCTAAAATTGCAGCTTCTGACACTGGTAAAATCTAAACTACAACTAGAAACTAAATTTAGGGTGATGGGTTCAGGAATAGATGGTATCTTTGCCTTTAAAATTAATTTAAAGGTGATCTAAACATGAATACACGTTGTATGTCACCTTTCTTTTAGTGTTTATAGATACAGTTACTACAAAAAAAAAAAACATTTTCTGTGTCATTACACATAGAGGTATCTCTTTAAACTGACATCTTCCTGAAACATTAACATGCAAGCAGCTTCTCGTGCTTTATGCTGTCATACTTAGTTATAATAAAACATTTCTTATGTATTTTGTGGGTTGGTACATCAATAAAACATATATTTATGTTCAGAAAATAAATAAATAATCAAATTTAATTTTGTAGCTATTTTGCATAGTAGCTCATTTATATTTAGAAAAACCTTACACAATACATAGAATAAGCATATAATCTGAAAGGACTGTACCAGGACCATTTTCTCACTTTGCTACTTTCTGTCACCAATGATTGTGGTATTATTAGGAACATAATTGGAAAATTATATCCCATAATCCCTTGCATGTATCATAATTTAGTCTTCACTGAGCAGCACAAGTTGCACAGGTAAACAATTAAATTAGATTTTCACCCCCAAGCAAAGAAAAACAAATCTATCTGGGAATAAAAAAAATGAATAACCAGTAGAAGGAATTCATTAGCTCTTCATAAGCGCCAGTCTAATGGAAAGGCATGATATTCTGAAAATGTAAAGCTGTTGATGGAAATAAATATAATCAATTATGACACTGCCTATGTTTCATATAACAGAAGAGCAGTTAATATGCAGTCCAGTCTGACACTTTGAAAGATTTTGTGCCTGTGCCCACCTCTTCTAATTTCTGAGCCATCATATGCAAAAGAGCAGGACTGGTCAAACAAGACCACATTTTTTAAATCTGCCCTCTTAAACCTGACTGCTAAAGGAATGCAGACCCAGTAACATTAAGGGGTCTATTCACAAAGCTGCCGTAAGCAGCCGTAATCCGGCAGGCTACTTGCTTCTGTTCGGCCTATTCTCATAGATGCTGAACAGCAGTGAGTAAATAGCGAATGCCGCCGAGTGGCATTCGGCTCAGCTATTTTGCTCGGTACCTCTCTGGTACCGAGCAGAATAGAAAAACAAGTTAAAAAAGTAGAAAAAATGAAATAGAAAATGATTGGGCTGAGCTAGCAGTGGCAGCTAGCTCCGCCCAACTGTTTTCTATTGGCCAGGCAATTCTGCTGCCCGGCCAAAACAAAAACACCATAGGAATGCATAGCTATATTCCTATTGGCTATTTCACTTTGCAATAGCCAATAGCAAACTAGCTATTGCACCCGCCCTCTGCTGCTGTCAATCACTAGAAGGAGATCTGATGGAGAACTATTGGGTGCAATAGCTAGTTTGCTACTGGCTATTGCAAATTGAAATAGCCAATAGGAATGTAGCTGTGCATTCCTATGCGGTTTTTTATTTATTATATTTTTTATTCTAACGGCAGCCAACGACTCCGGGGACGCTGATCTGTCTGTGCAAGTGGCCGGAGCCAGCCGTGAGATGACAGCTGGCTGCGCCCAGCAGTCCGTAGCAGGCTGCCATCCAATCAATGGCCGGACGTTCGGCCTGCTTCGGATTTCACCTCGGCTCAGTCTAGCCGAAGCATATGCCTTCGACTCGACTGAGCCCCTCGGCCAACTTCGGGAGCTGTACGGGCTATAGTGAATAGCCCGTACAGCAGCCCTTCGGTTCTACTGCCGAAGAGATCCTGGGGTCGAAGCTAGCTGAAGAATCAGCCGAAGCTACGGCTAGATCCTTTGGCAGCTTTGTAAATAGACCCCTAAGTCTTATTTAATAATATTTGGCAGAGTGATAAATTGTTAAAGACTTTGAGAGTACCAGTATACAGATGCACATCTGGTTCCCTCTCTATTTGTTTCAGCTGTGTTTAGAAAGTATCAATAAGCCCATAGAGAGACCTGCCGGCCATGGTCCCAACCTAAAAATATTTTAAGCTTGGAAGGAGGTTTTTGAATGAATCCTGACACCTTAAAAGGCTTTTCATTCAAATGTTAAAGTTACTCTTGAATCCCAATTTATTTTTACAGAAAAATGTTTATCCAGCCACACATATCAGCATATTAAATTAAATATGGATCCACTCCTGGCATGGTCACGGATGCATGGTTAACTGGGAGAAAAAAAAGTCTAATAAAAGTGAAATGCTCAAAATTGCTATACATTTTTAAAGCATTCTCAGTTTTTCTCCCTTAAAAATGTGTGAGAAACTTCACTCAACTGTCTTTATTTCGAACAATATCCAGTCCTGTATAGCAAAACAGGTCCTTCAGTACTTCTTTTCTCAGAAAGTGGTCTGGACAGTCCCAATATTACAACTAAGTTTTAGAATCTTAATTGTCCTATGTCTTTGATTGGCTATATCCTGATAAGCCCTCCGCCTCCACAGTTCTGACGGCAAAAATCACCGGCATCCAGGTTACACTTACTGATTGACTGTGGAACAATCCAAGACTACAGGAACTTATTGGTTAACCTGACTCCAACCTGTGGTCTAACAGAGGCACCACTAACCTTTTCTATTTGTATTATGAGGGAGTTTTTCAAGTCCAGGCCGCACACCGCTAACTTCACCAAACACATAGTTTATTAAAATCCATCATCAGTGTAGTCATCAGGTGGAGACTACACTATGCTTGCTGATGGATTTTTATTAAACCAGCTATTTCTGCACTATTTTCAGACGGAAGCATGCGGGAAGACACAGTTAAGTATCAACCCCGTTTAAACGTTTTTGTTTTTTTTGTTTTTTTAACTTTTTGTGTTAAGACGTGAGAGTTTAGAAACCCTTTAAGAACAATGGGTAGGAGATATCTAGGGTGTGATTTGGAATTTTTTTATTCTGTGGAAAACTATACAATTCATCACACATCTCCCACAGCTTTACCAAAACTTAGAAAATATCCTTCTGTGCAACAGGCACCTATAAGGATTAAAGGCACTCATTATCATACCCTAGTTAAGTCCTTAATGGATCAGTTTTAGCAAGAGATGATCAAATAGGTAGCACCTCTTATGATTATGAGGCCATTTGAGCAGCAAAAGCATTTTAAAACAAGCCCCCGCTCACCTTCACAGCTATAAGCATTGTGAATACATTCATCTTCAAAATTTACAAATAAAGTAAGTAAACAAACACCAGTTTTTTTCAAACTGTTAGAAACTAATTGAAAGCTTACTTTAGTCTTTGTTGGGATCTTTCAGAATCTTTGAGAATGAATTACTTCATACTACATGCAGGTAAAGGAGACAGCGATGGCTTGTTTTAAAGCTCTTTTACTACTTGTTAAAAACGTGTAAATACTTTAATGTTTCAGTTTAAATATTTTTCAGCTTAATAATTGAACTATAGAGTTTAAATGCAAAGCAATCCATTTTGTGACAACTGATTATATCAGCAATTTCCTTGATGTGGGTCACTATAGTTGTATACTGTATATAGTCAGCCTGATATTCACTGCAGGTCATAAGCTGCCTCCTGTAGTGTACACTTTTTCTTTGGAAGTCAGCAACAGTGTTCATGTTAGTGCAGCTTGTTTTTAAGATCACCGCAGATTCTGCATACTGTATTTCCTTGTGAGATCAAATGGGACTTACATTTCTCCGTAATAGCTGATCTCACATCCAGACTAGAAGTTTTGTTTTTAACATTCTGCGCTAAAGTAAAGACAGATTCAAGCTGGGTGTGGCGATGCTCCATATCTTCTTTGGTTATCTAAAAAGGGACAATAAAGACAAGTTTTTATTTTGTACATAGTATTGCATTGCAAAGGCAATTTTGTATAGAAGGTGGCACATATATAGCAGATTTTAATTTGTACTAGTTGACTTGAAATGACCCCACAAGGACTGGCATATTTGTAGGTTTTTTTTTTAATGTATTAAATAAGGTCACCATCTTTATCTGTAAATTCCAGCCCAACGTGGGTATCCTGGGTACCAACTTAAAGGATAGCTAACAAAAAAATATAATATAACATAGATATCCAGTCCTTATACACAGTGGCAGCATATGTTTTCTTTTTCCAGGTTATTGTCACCTGGTGTTCCTGAGAATAGCATACTTCCTGTCCTAGGGTGGCTACGCTCACTCCTATAGCGTATCTATGGATAACTCCAAGGTTACCACCCAAGCTGGACGACAAACATGTTTGCGGTTGCTCATTTCTATGACATGGGCGTGGGGGGTTTAGTAGACTTTACAGAAGGAATATAAGATTATTGGTGCTTTCATTTTAAGTAGCTGACCGTGACGTGACAAGGACACTGCAATTCTGGCAAAATCAAAAGGTATTTTCTGTACTTGCTGAAAATATTCTTAGAGTCTCTCTCTCTCTCTCTCTCTCTCTCTCTCTCTCTTTTTATATCTATATACTGTATATTGTACTGTCTAATTTCAAGGATTTAACGGCCAATATAGTTTGATGCTATTGAGCATATTTACATATTTATTCAGCTTTTTGAAGTGAAAATCGCACAATTCTGGAATATAATGCTTTTTAACAAGCCTAATGAGTCTAAAGTGTTTATTATAGAAGTATAGAAACAATTACAAGCACACGGCACAGCTGTATGAAGAACAATCCATGATAATTACTAAGATAATTGCTATTTATGACTTCTTAGCTCCACACGCTGTTAAACAGATATGAGAATGTAACTTTAATCCATCTCAAGCGGAGGGGATTAATAGAGTTCTAACACAGGCAGTTTCATTTACGAAGCCCATCTAGGCTCTTCATATGAAAATATATTATATGCAATCTATA